TTGTCAAAAATTAATCTATTACTTTTCCTACATAATTTTTAACAAAAACATTGGTAAAATATCTATTTAGGAGTCTTAGACCTTTCCAACGATATATAGTTTGTCATGATTAGATTAGGATTTAATTGTAATATAGTGAAGTAAACTTAGGCGTCCCACAGAGGGGACGGGTGGCAGTTAAAGGGTTAAAAGGTTTTAAATAATTAATTAAAATGTTTCCTTGGCAACTAACTGAATTACAATAGGCTTAAGTAGTAAAATTACTAAAAATGAAATAAATTGAATCTATATATAAATAAAAAACCGATAACACTTTACAATAAGGTTCATTAGTTAACATTAGTTAACTACATTAGTTAACATTAACTAATAATGAACAATACTTCTACAGTGTTTATTAATCTTAGTTAATGTTAATTTCAGCATTTACTAATGCATTATTAAAATCACAAGTTGTGTTTGTTAACATTAGTCAATGCACTGTGAACTAACAACAATAAACGACTGTATTTTCATTAACTAACATTAACAAAGATTAATAAATATATTGTTCGTTTATGTTAGTTAATACTAGGGCTGGGCGATATGGCAAAAAAAAAAATCTAATTTTTTTTTTTCCAGAACGTTTAACCGATTCTCGTTTTTTACTAGTCAACTTGAAAATGTAACTAAAACATGATTCAAATAACTTTTTTCTTTATTAACCCTCTCTTGCAGCGTCTAATGCATGAAATGGCATTCTAAAACGCGGCGCTCAAGTTAAAAGACGTTCAACTCCATCTTCTTGAATTTTTTCCCATTCCACTGGCCGCGACGCATTTGTCAACACAAACGCGCATTCTGTGTGAATGGCACCTAGCCATATATTCTAATTAGGGTCCTTCACAGAGCGCATCACACATGAGCGGTTAATCACATGCGCCAGCATGCGGTTGGATCATTCTTTTCTCATTACTGTTATTACTGGCATTTTGTGAAAGTGTCTAATTCTTACATTTGGTAATATTTCTATTCAAAATCGCAATTCCTTAATTTAAAAAAAAATTAAATCATGGCAAAACATTAAATTTGAATTAATCGATAAAATCGGAAAAAGCGCCCAGCCCTAGTTAATACATTAAAGGGTTAGTTCACCCAAAAATGAAAATTCTGTCATTAATTCCTCCCCCTCGTATTGTTCGAAACCCGTAAGACCTTCGTTCATCTTCGGAACACAATTTAAGATTTAAATTTAAATGACGCGAGCGTGTGGCGGCGCCGGGGCTGACCCAGATCCAGCGTGATGACGTCATTACGCCGGATCTGGGTCAGCGCCGCCAAAGTGACGCAGTAGAGACGAAAATGTGGAATAAAGTCGTTATTTTTGTTTTCTTTGCGCAAAAAAGTATTCTCGTAGCTTCCTAACTTTACAGTTGAACCACTGATGTCACACGGACTACTTTGTCGATCATCTTGGTACTTTTCTGGACCTTGAACGTGGTAGTTACCTTGCTGTCTATGGGACGGGGATGAGTAATTAATGACAGAATTTTCATTTTTGGGTGAACTAACACACTAACTAATGATAACAAATTACACATTGTAAAGTGCTACCAAAAAAAGCTAAAGAAATAAGCACATCAATTTACTCAAATTAAAATGAAAACTAAAAATAAATAACTTTTATTTTAAATAATTTTAAAATTAATAAATATTATAATAGTCCGATATGAATAATACAATAAGAACATGCATCACTTACATTTATATTTTTTTTCAATATTTTAAAATAATATATGCAATACCACATGGCAAGTTCCTAAGGTGTTGTACTTGTATGCCATCTATAGTTGCCCAAAAATGATGGTAAATATGAAAAGAATGCTGGAGCATGTGGAAACTGTAGTTGCCATGGGTCTTAAATGGTTCGAAACATTGTTACAGCATTGTTTTGGTTACATAAGCACCAGTTACATATAGTTGTGCACAATTGTGCAGTCTAATCCCATGCTAACATTAGGAGACATTTGGGCCTTTCTTTGTCCTGCTGGGTTTTTAAAATTTGCTTTCAATTGCCTTACTTGGACTGTGTTTGACAAGTTTGAGAATAAAGGGAGGAGATTGCAAAACCGTCTTCAACTCCTTCGCTTCAACTCCTTTTCAGGTGCTGTTGTTTTTTCAAGAGGAGGAAGAGGAAAGCGCTCCAGCGGCACAAGTGAGGAGGAACATCTTTGAAACGTTAAGATCACGGGTGCGTTTAAAGTAAAAAATAAAAGCAAAGGACTTGAGCTGAAACGTGGAGCTCCACCTCAGAACAGAAACTCACTGCCTCACTTTTGGCATCTGCTCAGAGGACACACCTCAGTACTCTGGGCTCTGACACTCTTTGTAAGGAAACAATTCAGTGGAACAAATAAATATATTTGTACAATGCGGGACACCAGAAGAGACCTCAGTGGTCAGAAATAAGATGATATATGATATGTGACTTAAACCCAGATGGACTGTTTAAACTTGTATTTTAGATGACATGCAAAACCATTATTTGAGAACTAAAAGGCAACCAGACTCACACTTACACACAGACATCCGTTCACTTTGACACACTGGCTGGATGAGTGAGTGATGTGCTCCATGGTGTTTTTGTTTTTTTATGGGATCAAAGTAAGTGGGGAGAGACTGCTGACTGACGTATGGAGAAAAGTACACCGGATTCAGACAACCTTATGTAAATTCTGTCGTTCCTTTTTGTTTGTGTAATTTAAAACATTGTTTTGAAGATCTGCTCTCCCAGTTTTACTCATGTTGTAGAATGTGTAAACATTTTTTAACCGCTCTTAGTGTTTCTTTATTTTCTCTTCTTTTGCTTTTTTACTTCCTCTGTTCCTGTCAGTGTCGATGTGGATGATGATGATGATGTTGTAGCACAGTGGCTGATCTCAGGTACTGTGGGAGACGGAGAGAAATGCATTGGATCTCTCCTCTGTGAATTGCACTTTTGGGGGGATAAAGCAAAGCGTTTGACATTTCTGGCATTGAAATGAATAGGAAACAGGAAATAAAGGCAGACGTGGGATCATTTATACAGCAGGCTGGTCTCTCCCAAAGGGACAAAAGTGATTCTCTCAGTCAAAATTGTGCATTTTTTGTATTTCGCATTAGATTAAGTTACCTGGGAATCATAGTTTGTGCCTTTCCAAGTAAAACTTTTAACACTAATGTCTCTCTATGATTCCTATCCAGGTGAGGTGTCCATGGCCCTGTCAGATTGTTTGTTCTCTAGCGTGCACTCCATGCCAGTCTAATGGAGCCTGTTGGCATTTCTCAGATTTCTTTTCACTGTTATAAAGTGCATCAGCAAAGCTCCATGAAGACGTGAGTCTGTGGGTTTATACGCAGTAACAGAGGTTGCCTATCAGAATGAGGATGTGTATTGATTTACATACCTATTAAATGTTGCTTTTCTTCTATGCCTCATAAGATGTTACATGTTGTGTCTGTGCACAATCACTGTTTTGAGTTTCTGGTTGTGGTTAATTATTGCGGTTATTTCAGAAAAAGCAACAGTTATTTCAGTACAGTCAATATCACGTGACCATACAGAGGCAGTTGCAGGGAATCACCAGGATGCGGTGCCATAGAACACATCTGGAGCTACAGGGCAAGGGCCTTAACTTTTATTGCACATGAAAGTAGGTGTCACACCCTTGTAGTGTATTGTACAGTGCTACAGCAGGACATTTTTACACTTTCAAATGACTTTTCCCCCCTAATTTCTTAGATACTGCAGAGCCAACCAATTATGACATCCTGTGATTCTTTTTCAATCATTAACATTTGTATTACAAAGCCAAGAACCATGAATGGACTGTTTTTAGATATAGTGAAGAGCAGTGGTTCTCAACCAGTTATTCACGATTTACTGGACAAGGGTTAAGAATAAGGATTTTTTTATTATTATTATTTTGCTCAGTTTCTTACTGATAACATATTTTAGAGCTTGAAATAACTAGAAAAATATGTATTTATAAAAATGTCTATGAAGTTATGTGATTGTATTAATTTACATGACTAGAAGGGTCTAGAATTTACGCTTTTAAAATCAGGCTACCTCATATATCCAGGTTTTTCAAAACTGAAAAATCTGTTTTTTTAAAGAAATAAAAACGGTCATTGAAGGGATGAATTAAAGGCATAGTTCACCCAAAAATGAGAATTCTGTCATTTTTGCTCACCCTCATGTCGTTCCAAACATGTATGACTTATCTTCTGCGGAAAACAAAAGAGATAATTTGAAGAATGTTAGTAACCAAACAGTTTTGGTTCCCATTCCCATGGAAGTCAACAGGAACCAAGAAGTCATACAGATTTGCAATAACGTGAAGGTGAGTAAATGATGACATCATTTTTATTTTTGGGTTAAACTCAGTTGTGACATTAGAGATTTAATTTAAACGAACGAAATACGCATTGAATTTAGTGTTGCTGAGTGGCAAGAAGTACATTTCGTGTTAATTACCATTTGTATAACCACTGTTTTATTACAAATACCATGGTTAAACTATGGTTAATGTGGCCAATTTGTGGTTACCATGGTTTAACTATAGTAACCATGTTTTTTTTTTATTTTTTATTTGTAGCAAAACCATGGTTAATTTTCATAAGGGAATGGATGCAGTGTTGCCAGATTTCCTAAAAAATTAAAATCTAAATCAACTAAAATTAGTGAACTAAATCTCTCGAGCGCGCACAAGATGAGGAAAGAAAAGCAGAAACACGGAGGAATGTAGAATATGTAGAGTGCTGCTTGAACACCAGGTGGGGATATTTGTCAACTGTGTCATGTCATGTGGCTCAAGTACTATCAAAAAGTAAATAAATAAAAGAAAGAAATACGCGACTGTATTGCGGAAATAAGTTTAAAACCGCGTGTTGTGGAAATTATCTTAAAAACCACGACTGCTCTTATTTTGAAAATAACACCACCATAGTCGCTCTTATTAAAGAGGATATGGCAACACAGATGAGAGAGGGTGTGGCTTAATAAACACGTCATGACAACATGAATCGAAAATAACAAGGCGCTACGCTATACGTTTTTCGCACAAGATCAAATTCAACATTAACCGTGCTGCATTCATATTTACCAACATTACATATACAACTGTAAATCTCAATTCATGAAAGAGAATATTACAATTTCAATTCGCGCCTCCTCCATCGTGACTCATTTACGAAGTCAGCTGACCAAATCCTTAGGAACGGACTCTCACTACAGTCACAGTGATGGACCGAGACCGAGAGCCTTGAACTTCACACCAGACTCATTCTCCCTGCAGTGAGGAAACCGGCGCTGGACAGGACAATATGCAGAGGTGGATAAAAGGGAATACGCATTTTTAGCCGACTGTGGGTTGACTGTATCACGTTAATCATGTCGGACTCCTCAGAAGCCTCTTTACCCGCTTTCAGGCGCTTGAGTTACTCAGTGGGGCATTTTCTCAACGACCTGTGCGCCTCTATGTGGTTCACATACCTGCTGGTGTTTTATCACTCAGTGCTGGGCTTTCAGAACACATATGCTGGTGTGTTGCTGCTAGTGGGACAGATAGCGGATGGAGTGAGTACTCCGCTCATCGGTTATGAGTCTGATAAGTCACCCGGCTGTGGATCATATGGGAAGAGAAAAACATGGCATTTAGTTGGTGAGTGACGAGGGTCTTAAAGGGACAGTTCAACCAAAATTGCGCCTATCATCACCTTTATGTTGTTCTAGACCGGTATTACTTTCAAAATAAGACTTCAGGGATGAACATTCACTTTAATTGTTTTAATTGTGTCCTTAGTAAATTATGACAATTGTTTTGGGGTAATCTGTCTCTTTATATCTTGCATATTAATGTATGATTATATTATTCTCATTTGTGACCCTGGACCACAAAACCAGTCATAAGGGTCATTTTTTAATGAATAAATAAGCTTTCCATTGATGTATGGTTTGTTAGGATAGGACAATATTTGGCTGACATACAACTAATTGAAAATCTGGAATCTGAGGATATTGAGAAAATCACCTTTAAAGTTGTCCAAATGAAGTTCTTAGCAATGCATATTACTAATCAAAAATTAAGCTTTGATATATTTACAGTAGGAAATTGACAAAATATCTTAATGGAACATAATCTTTACTTAATATCCTAATGATTTTTGGCATAAAAGAAAAATCGATCATTTTGACCCATACAATGTATTGTTGGCTATTGCTACAAATATACCCCAGCGACTTAAGACTTTTTTTTTTTTTGCTCCAGAGTAACATTTACTCTCTTTTTACTCTACCTAGGAACTATTAGCGTTCTCGTGTCGTTCCCCTTTATATTTAACCAGTGCCTGGGCTGTGATCTGGACACTCCACAGTGGGTCAGTCTCACTTACTTCACCCCATTCATCGTCATCTTCCAGTTTGGATGGGCGGCCACCCAGATTTCCCATCTCTCCCTCATTCCAGAGCTGGTGACTTGCGAGCATGAAAAAGTGGAGCTCACTGCGTACAGGTAAACTCATGCAGATCTGAGCATGTGATGATCAACCATTCTCGTGATGCTTGTTTGGAGGTCTTTGTCTGTAGTGACCGGGATGATGTATTAGCTTTTTATTGTGTTTTGATTGTATCTGTTAGGTATGCCTTTACGGTGATAGCCAACATCACAGTGTATGCAGTGGCCTGGCTGATGTTTCATTTTCAGACTCAGGAAGGAGATGATCCCGCCATTACGGAAAACCTCGGCCCGGTTGACATCCCTGTTTTCAGAGTGAGTGCTGATGTTCTTGTGCTGAAATGAAGCCTTGGTCATTTCATCCTGAATTATAAAATAGCTCAATTTAAAGACCCCATGATTTAAAACATTTTGTGACCGTGTGTGCTAGTGTACTCCTAAATTATCTTTGATCAAATAAATATTTAAAATTATACTCTATATTGCATGCACTACTGCACAAAGGTGTTTTTTTTAAAGAAAAAAAATTCTGATACAACTGATACAAAAATTATTAAAATAAATGCTGTTCTTCTGAACTTTCTATTCATTAAAGAATCCTGAAAGAAATGTGTCACCTTTTCCACAAAAAAAATTTAACAGCACAGCTGTTTAACATTGGTAATAAGACATGTTTAATAAGCACCAAATCAGCATATTAGAATTATATCTATCTATCTATCTATCTATCTATCTATGAACGGTAAGACAAGGAACATTTATTTAAATAAAGAGGATCAGTTTTAATTTCATGTTGACTTAAAAGTCAGTATACATTTTGATATTCCAGCAAATTTCTCTCAGATGCTTCTTTAAATGAGTAGTAGTACCCTAGTAAAACAGACATTTATTTCATACTATAGTTCACATCTGTTAAAATATTTACTGGCATATTGCTTACTGATATAAAAATTATAATTAAACTTTGTTTGGAGTACTACTTGTGCACAATGCACATTTCTTAATATTAAGTCTAAAATGTGTTTTTATGTCACTATTGATGAGGATTGTATGATCTTTGAATAATATCGGTCTTTAAATGCAAGATATATATAAAATGTACCTGAAGTATACTTGCAATAGTTCCACTTTAGCACAATCAAATATACTTCAGTATATGTTCAGCACTACTTCCACACAATTAATGTGCATTAAGTACAAAATTAGTTGTTCCAATTTTGCAGACTTTAAATATACCAGTTTAGTATACTGAAAGTACAATTTTAGTATATTTATTTTTACTAGGGTAGTTAAATATATTAAATGCATATAATCAACAGTTTATGGTTTTCAGCTGATTTTTTGTAGACCAGACTTTTCAGTCTTTGCTTCTGTTCATGTTAACCTACCAGGTTAACATCAAAATATCCCTGACAAGCTTCATGCAGTAATATCTGTTCACACTCAGGGTCTAAGTCTTACAGTAGTGGGCATTGGCGCTCTGTTCTCGCTGCTCTTTCACCTGGGCACACGGGAGAAGGGGGCACGTCCCCGTCGGGAGGAGGAGGGCTCTAGTCCTGGGGAGCAGCAGCCTCTTCTTAACAACACCACTGTGTCTCCTCCCACCAGTCTGCTGCAGTGGAAGCACTGGCTGAGACAGCCATCATTCTACCAGGTTAGCAGCCCTTACCCATGTTACTTTTCAGTGGCATGTAAGTTAATTCTCAGCTTTTGTGATTAATCTGAATAGTGGCTTGAAACACAATGTTATCACTTAATCACAGTGGTGTGAAAATGTTCAGGATACAGTATTTAGTAACTGTCTGTTATAACAGACAGTTCGGAAAGTTAATAATATCTCTAAACCCTGCTCTGTTATTCAGGTGGCGTTGCTTTATATGTCCACCAGACTGATAGTGAACCTGTCGCAAACATACATATCCATGTATCTCACCTACACACTACTGCTGCCAAAGGTAAGACAGCTATAGTAATACTACACTTTGCACCCAGTTCATCAGCAAAAGCATCGAAGAAAAAAGGCAGTGATCACTGTTTGATCCTCTCTTTTGCAGAAGTACATAGCCACCATTCCCCTGGTCATGTTCCTGAGTGGTTTCGCTTCCTCATTTATTATGAAGCCTCTAAGCAAGCTAATAGGCAAATGTGTGAGTATAAGTTTGCATGTGTGTGTTTTGATTGAAATATAAACCATATACCTCTTCTCTTTGTTGGAAGTGATTAACAATCCAGAGATACCAGTCAGTTTTGCTGCGTCATATACGTGTGATCAAATTTATGAGTTGAGCGCACACGAACACCACCATAAAGTCATAATTACTAGTGCAGAAATGTGTGATTTCCTTTGAGCCGAAGCTTTATGAGTTGGAGGTATGTCAATTATAGATTTTAAAAACACACCTGATGTGCATCCTTGTTAAATTAGTGCTAAAAATCTTCTTGTCTTCATCAGGAAGTAAAAAAGAGAACAAAATAAGAAATTGCCCATCAAGTGTTAAAGGTACAATATGTAAGTTTTCGCCACTAGAGTAATTAATTGTGAAGGTGGAAGAGAGCTCTGTATATTTACCCCCCCCAATGCAATATGATAGAAGGATTTTATTTGCACTAAAGTGTCCTTTTTTCTTATTGACAGATTACCTATTTCTTGGGACTGTTGCTGGTTCTTGCGTTCTCCTGTTGGGTGCTGCTGGACACACACATGGGAGAAAAGGTGTATGGCGCTGCGGTCTTGCTCGGAGTGGGGTCCGCTACCATCCTGGTGATGTCACTTGCCATGACAGCCGAACTCATAGGAGACCAAACAGTAAGTGCTGATATCAGTCAGTAATGGAGAACTGAAAATGAACAGGAACCGCTTGAAGCAAATGTTTTATAGAGCGGATTCAGCACTAACAACTTCAACAGTAACGCATGATTGAGCCAGTAAGATATACAGATGTTTACAGAAGTGAAAGGCATATGCTTCAGAGTGACTAGTTTCAAAAGTGTAAAAATGGTTGTAAGGAACTAAAATGGTGCTATTAAAGAAGTGTTCGAGTTTCTGATTCTGACTTTTTTCTTTTCCTCCTGACAGCAAAGTGGTGCTTTTGTTTATGGAGCTATGAGCTTCACAGACAAGGTGGCTAATGGTCTGGGAGTTATGATTATTCAGACGCTACATCCCTGCCGGTAAGTGTGTAACTGTGTATGTCCCTGCATAGATGCATGCTTGTGAGAGAGACTGTTTTAATGGTTTCATTTTATGTTTAGAGTAAAAGAAGTAAAACAAAATGTAATTTCATTATTTTTTAATATTTATTTTTACATGTGTGATTTCTCTCATATAGCACAATGGTATGCTGTCCAGGCTGTGTGTGGTATTATCACTATATCATGGTCATCGTCACTGGTGGAGTGGCCGTTTTAGCAGCGCTGAGCCTCTGCACGATCCTTATCTGGCCTATAAAGATAGTGCACTGTAAGACACTTGACAAAACTATCATTTATGTCTTTCTTGCTTTTAAACATGTACTTCCTCTTTGACTGCCTCTGTTTAATAGTGTTACTCGATAACCTCTTCACCTCATGGCCGACATGATGTTTTGTATTACAGTATCTATGCAAGATCATATGAATGGTTCAATAAACAGCAAAGACTTTAAGGGTGAGGTCAACATGTCAGCATCTGAAATAACAATCAGGAATCTGAACTACATGATTTTCTCCACAAAAAACAATCAGAAACATCAATCATCCACCTTTAATATAAAGGGGTCAAATCATGAGGCAAATTTTCCTCAATGTTTGGAGATGATGGAGTGCAAGAAAGCAGGCTGCATCATATTTATTTATTGATTGAATTTTTTCTGTGACAACTAAATACTTTGATTCAGTTATTCTAAGCACACCTATTAAGAAACCCAGACTAATGATAAAATGTGGGAAAGTTTGCCAAACCTTGTGCTTTTGAAGGTGAAGAAGGTGGAAATGGTCATGATTAACTGGATTATGATAATATAAGTGATTTTTTTCATAATAAAAAATGACCCCTTTAAAAGTGATTTTTCTTTTTCAGATAATAAAAGGTTGATTCCATAGGTTTAAACTGCCATTCAAATGTTTAGGGTCAGTCATATTTATTGTGAAATATTACCATTTAAAAATGGCTGTTTTCTAATTTAATATTTTAAAATGAAATGTATTCCTGTGAAGGCAAAGCTGAATTTTCGGCATCATTACTCCAGTCTTCAGTGTCAAATGATCCTTCAGAAAACATTCTAATATGCTGATTTGCTGCTCAAGAAATGTTTCTTATTATTATTGTCAGTGCTGCAAACAACTGTACTATTACTACTTGTTTGCATCAGTATTCATTAATGAATAGAAAGTTCATAACAACAGCATTTAAAAAAAACAAATCTTTTGTTACATTATAAATATCTTTACTATCAATTTAATGTGCCCTTGCTGAATAAGACTATCAGCTTCTTTCAAAAAATCGTACTGACTCCAAAACCTTTGAATGGTGGTGTACTGTATATGAATTTGTACATGTAATATCTGATGTTTGTATTGTTTTTGTAGATCTGCCTGAGGTGACTGGCCTTATGGGAAGTGATACAGAGGACTCGGAGAGCTCTGAGCAGCCATCAGTCAACTGAACACACATCTTCAGCTCTAATGCAGAGAGCGTTTGGTTGACACTTACATCACAGTGGTGAAGGTTAGAAATCAGGTTTTGGTTCAGAATGATCTTTCACACAGGCCAGTGTTTGCTAATGTAGTCTATATGGTGGCCACATCTTGACACATGAGAGAATTTCACTGAGAGCCAAATATGTGGTGAATTTTTAGAGGTGATTAGTTGATATTACTCATGTGTCCTGTATTGTGGCTTTTTATTTCATAGTTCTCACTTAACCCAGCAGTCTGCATAGACACTTTATCTTTATTATGCACAATTGTTTTTCATGTTTAATATTTAAAATTTGTTTTACTATAAATTTAGTTCAGTTATTTCAATCAAGTCCATAAAAACAAGGGAATTAATTTTTTATAAGGACTCAAAACTATTGACGTTATTATGAAGTTAGTGCAAGATGCACATGTTATGATGGATGCATCATTTCAGGTTATATTAATAAATCCATCTAACTGTTCCATAAGGGAATTCATGAAAAGGGAAGAATTGCTATTTTAAATCAGGGGACATGAAGCCATGTGTTGTCGTTTCAGGGCATATTTTCAGGTGTGAGATACATGGGTTATCAATGTTAGGGACCAGAGAGTCAGTGATGAGCATTTTTTCCCCCTGTAACCACTAGCTTTTTGTTTTCTTTCATATTTTTATATATGCATAATTGTTTTCATATGCAAGACAATTGTGTCTGACATGTTTTCTGTTCATGTAATTTACTGAACAGAATAAATGTTCTTTATGAACAGAGTTGATACATTGTAACTTGTCTTTGTGACTAGTTACTGATTAGCAGGAATGCAGTGTCAGTAGTTTTAACATCTGGTCAGCTGATCTAACGTGATGCTCAAGACTTTAAACACTTAAAATAAATTGCAAAGACTGACGCTCAAATGTAACTGGAATGAATTAAATAGTCAATTGTAGTGGAATCAATCAACAAAATCAGTATGTTTGTAAAAGACAGTTGTATTTTATTATATTTGATGTCTTGTTTAAAATATATTTTAAATAAATGTTTTTTTAAAATTACACTGTGTTTTAATTAAACATGAAGTGTATTCTGCAGGGAATCATTAAATTGATCAAACATTACAGTAAAGATTTCTCTTTCAAATAAATGTTCTTTTCATTCTTCAAAAAATCTTTAAAAAAATAACTTTCCACAAAAACATTACACAGCAAAACTGTTTTCAACATAGATAATAAGTAATAATTGATTTTTTAAAAATATCAGTATTGATATGAACATTTCAAAAAATTCAGCTTTGCCATCACCAGAATAAATTACATTTTAAAATATAATAAAATAGAAAACAGTTATTTTAAATTGTTATGATATTTCACAATATTACGGTTTTTAATGCATTTTGATCAATTGAGGTGAAACAACCTGTATGTACCTGTTATGCAGTTTGTGTCCACAAGATGGCAAAAGAGTCCAAGAGTCCAAAACATGGTCTGATGTTTAGACGTTAAATAATTCCTGCCTGCTGGCTGTGACTGCATTCATTTCTGGGTGCTGCAAACATTTACACATATTATGAAAGAGACTCATTAATTTATTTTAATATTGTTCACACATTATTGTAACAATAGTAATTCGTTTTTTTATTTATTGCTTAAAAATAAGTATTGAAAGTAAAGTATTACAAGAGTATTTTGCTTCAATACATTAGCTTATTATGATGTCATTTCTCTTAATAAAGCAGTGTGTGTAGTGTGTATGGTTTCAAAAAACGAGAGGTAATGGGCATGCGATTTTTGGTTATTTATCCAAAACTGGAGTTCATTCGTTTGTTAATGTGAAAAGCATTTCAGTTACACCTCTGATCTATTCCTCTCCTGTCATGTACAACACCACTCAAAATTGCCCACGGGAAAATCCCACCAAATATTTATTAACAACATCTTTGTTTTGAAGCGTAGGAAATAAATCAAAACCATGCGTTCAGCTGTATCCTATTAAGGGGCAATTATCACTAATTGGAACAGCATTTATAGAAACCACTGTGAATTATCCATTATGTTATTGTGTAACAATAGATTGTTTCAGAGACGCTGTACGACGCAGCACACAAGCGATGACTTTTCTTCGCTTTGAGCTTTAAACAATAACAGTGTTGTGTAGAAGTTACATGTCAGCACAGATGTAGCCTATTTTCTTCCTTTTCCAGCATATTATTAGTACTTTCAAAGAAACCTTCAGTATTTTTGGATTGATCTCTGAGCTGTGGATCATTTGTGAAAACGTGTAGCTTTCCCATTGCATTATAAAGAAATAGTTCCCCCAAAAATAAAATGTACTTACCCTCAGGCTTTCCAAGACAAGTTTGTTTCTTCCAATGGATCCTCTGCAGTGAATGGGTGCCGTCAGAATGAGAGTCCAAACAGCTGATAAAAACATCACAATAATTTACAAGTAATTCACACAACTCCAGTCCATCAATTAACATCTTGATACAGTAATTGGAAATCTACATGTTTGTAATAAACAAATTCATCTTTTAGAGTTTAAATTTTTTTTTTTAAAAGAGTCCTTTATCTATTATTTATAATATCGCTTTCTTCAGTGAAAAAGTCATCTCGTCTGAATCAGGAGAGAAATATGCACAGATCAAACACCGTTCACAAGCAAAAACAGTCCAAAACCATTTTAAACAAATATGTTGGTGGGTTTTAATGTGAGAGGACAACAGGGGAGAAATCGTTATTATGGATTATGGACTGGTATTTTTGGCCAGAGGCGTCAGTTTAAAGTTAAAATGCCTTAATGATGGATTTGTTTATTACAGCTTTTCACTTCACAAGTTAATTGATGGACTGGAGTTGGCTTACTTGTGGATTATTAATGTTATTTTATCAGCTGTTTGGACACTCATTCTGATGGCACCCATTCACTGCAGAGGATTTACTGGCGAGCAAGTGATGCAATGCAAAATTCTCCAAATCTGTTCTGATGAAGAAACAACAAGCTCATCTAAATTTTTTGTGTGTGTGTGAACTATTCCTGTAAGTACAGTACTGCTGATACTCATAAAAAGCATCTAGTAAAACATACAAAATGCATTAGTTTGTGCCTCCCGCAGCCCTTAACGCCTGCTGCTTAATTTAGACCAGAATCATGCCATAATCTGCTCCTCATTAGGCTCAAATCTGTCAAATCTACAGGCAAGCCATTCTTTTCATTTGCTTTGTTTGCATATTACCATGCAGGTCAGCCAGTATATTTCTAATATGCTTTGTGAAATAATACTAGACTGCTCCCTGAAGATCTGGAACACTCTCTAAAGTAAACTACTAATGATGCTATTAATCACGGCTTTCTTTCTTTCAGCCTACTTTTCAAGACATTCTGTCATTTAATGGCAAATATAGAGGTTTTATTCTTTCCATATTTAGCCAAGTTTACTGAACATTTAATGTGTTATTATTTTGGAAGTGGAAGCAACACTCTAATTTGAGTTTACACTTACGCTTGCAGATGTATGATATATGGTCATGTAGTTTTTGTCTTTTTCCAGCATTTATTTTCTTCTGCCCTGTGAAAGGGATGAACTTTCTCTTAATGGCCATCGGGTGGTGCCAGAACTGCTTGTTTATGAAGGTCGCCATATCGTGATTTCAACTTTGCAACTGTTGTGCAAATATGAGAACATGATTAAAATGTTGTAGTTAATGACTGCATTGTCCAGGTGCAGGGCAAATATGGGTGAATTCAGGAAAATTGGACCATATTTTGAATACACCCTATAAAGCCACATTAGATGGGGTTTGCATCAGGGTTGTTATAGTCAACTAAAACTAAAACCATACATTACTTGAAATAAATAAATGTTATAACTAATTAATAAAACTAACACACACGCATATATATATATATATATATATATATATATATATATAAAAACTATAAGTATTCTAAATTAATACTGGTTTGCGTGCATCTTAAGTCTACAAAGATGTCTTTGTAGTGAGTTGGTTGGATCATGAGGTGTATATATTCTCAATCTTTGTGATATAGGCTCACACACCTTGGATAATGGTGTTTTCTTGATCATATGCTATTAGAATTCAAGCATTTAACCTTCGGCATATTCTCACAGCTGACAAGAAGGGGCCTGTTTTTCACTCCCCTGTTAAAACACAACACTTTAAAGCCTTTTAGTCAGATGTCAAGCAGTGTCTTGTTGGTTAAGGCAAGGGAAAAATCCAGGAGGTGAAACCTCAGAGAGATAATAACACTGGTGTGGTTTTTATTTGGGAGAATCCCAGAGGCCACAATCACATCCATATTGGCAGCAATCAAACATGTAGCTGGTCCTAAACATTTACTGCACACACTCATTAAAGATGATTAAAAACATTATGGAGAGCGGATCAGACAGGTTTAAATGGTGAGGGACATTTAAAGACTTCACAGCCTAATTGAATACAACAACAGGAAATAGAAGCTGTTGGTGCAGTAAAAAAAAGAACAAAACATGATCGATCTGACAATGAAACTGAAATGAATAAAGTTGACTGGTAAGAAAAAAAATAGAGTTTTACAACAAAAGGCCTAAATTAATGACAATAATCAGCCTAAAACACAGCTGGAAACTTTGCCGTTTCTTTTCTCTGTTCTATTCAGTTTTGAAATAATGCCACAGTTTCTTCTGATCAAGCATTTAGTGCATAAAACCTCTGCTTTATTGCTTGTTTGTCTTTTTAGTAACAAAGTTACAGTCACTCACTAGTCACTACATAAATAGAATTCTTCATAGTTTGGAGTTCAAATAAATAGAATGTTTCAAAGTTTAAATAATCGGAATGTTTCATAGTTTAAAGTTCAAATAAACAGAATGTTTCATAGTTTCAGCTCTGCAAATATAGCAGGACTCAACTTTGGCTTCACATTTAGCCGTGTACTTAAATTCATGTAATGAGTTGAAAGAGAGGTGAGTAGAGTGATAAAACATCATCAGCAATAAATTTAATCATCTTCATTTATTGTTCTCTGGTGTATTGATCGGTTCGCTCAGTGCTTTCAATGTGTTATTACTATTTAAAATATGGCTATATTCATTTTTCTTCATATTACATAATCTGGCACTTTAGAAATATGTCTGTTTATTATCCATCAAGCTACTTTGTACAGGGCTATAAATGTTTGTTTTTCCATCCAAAGACAATCAGTGTGGATGAAGTACCGATCCAGGAGGAACACCATGGGTCAGTTTCCAAAAATCACTGTGCAAGTGCCCATTTCAGTGTCCCAATGTGTTAAA